ATTATCAAAATGTGAAGCTGTTGTTTCACGTAGCCTCCACCCAGATCATACTTCTGAAGGTGGTGTTTCCACCTCTCAAACCCTTCCCTGGAAAGATGTGCCAGCTTTGATTTGCACCATGTCAGAATGACAGTTTGGGCATCCTTGAGGGATTCAAACTTAAGTTTCTTTGCAATATTCTTTTAATTTGGGGAACACAAAGAAGTCTGAAGGGACAGGATCAGGTCTGGAGGGTAGATGTTGTGTGGTAAGATTTCCTAACAAAATTCTTCTAGGAGAGCCCTGGCTACCCTAATACAATGAGCAGGTACATTGTCATAATAGAAAACAACTCCTTGGCACAAGTTTTCTGGCCTTTGTCTTACCAATCCAGTTTTCTGTTTTCTTCAAACTTCTTCATAATAAGCCACTGTGATTGTCCTGTGACCTTTGAGAAAATATGAAGTTTACTTCTTTGGAATCCCAGAAAGCAATTGTAGTAACTTTTTGGATTGACCTCTCTGCCTTGCATTTATCTGGCCCAGATCCCTATTAGAAGCCGCTGTTTTGATTGGACCTTTTTTGTGTGTTTGAAGGTACTGAGAGAACTTTTCTGCAGTCATCCACTGATCACAGAGACATGTTTAAACATGTTTTGTTTGGAATAAAATCATGCATGTATGAACTGAAATCCTAGTTGTTGTTGCTGTTATGTGCCATGGAGTTGGTTCTGACTCATAGTGACCCTGCACAGGGTTTCCGAGGCTGTAAATCTTTACGGGAGCAGAAAGCCTCATCTTTCTCCTGTGGAACTGGTAGTTTCGAACTGCTGACCTTAAGGTTAGCAGCCCAACTTATAACCACTACGCTACCAGAGCGCCTTGAAATCCTAGTAGTAGTACCTTTTTACTTACTCTCTTAAAAGACTTCAGAAACTATATGAGGGGGCAGAAACTATATGAGGGGGCTTCAGAAATTTCATGGGAAAATTCCATTGTCTTTCCATTCTTTTTTTTTTTTTTAATTTAAGGTTTTTATTGTGGATTGAATGAAAGTTTACAGGGCACATCATCAGTTTCACATTCAACAATTCATATAACTTGTTTCATTACATTGATTATAATCCGCTCCATA